ATTCGAAGGTCGGTTCCACCAGAAGACGACGGTGGATTCCTCTTGACCAGCTGTCGATTGGCTTTATTGGTAGATTCATGCTGACACTGTTTCCGAGGCAATCTCCTTCGATTCCGATGAAGAGGTGCTAAGCTTTCGTCCGTCCTATGACATTACACATGACGAATTTGGACTCGATGCCTTCTGCTGCAAGCATTGAATCCGGAAATGTTGACGGTATGAAGAGAATTTGTTTAACTGACAGTTGGCAGCTAATGTATGTCCATATGACGGACGAAAGCTTAGCACCTTTTCGCCGGAATCGAAGGAGATCGCCTCAGAAACAGCGTCAGCATGAATCTTCAAGTAAAGACAATCGACAGCTGGTCATGAGGAATGCGCCGTCATCTCGTGTAACCGACCTTCGAATCTCTTCACCTAAATCTGGTGTCGCTTCATCACACTTGCTATTTACCCCGACCCCTCTCTTTCGATCGACTGATCCGACTGGGGCCTCCAATCCTGATCCCCTCATTGTCTCGTAGATCCGTTGCTTCTCTTTCTGGTTGACCGATTTCACTCGGTTCCAGTCTTAACGTGCATTTTACTCCAGGTCCTATTTCTCAAGGCCCTAGAAGCATATGCACTGTCGGTTCACTGAGCAGAGCACCTAAGGTCTGATTCCCATGCCTGAAGATATCAGGCCTACCCTTCACGGGTCCTTTACCTTGATTAAACCCATGTTATCTGAGCAAACTGTGGACGCCTATCTCTAATGGAATGCGGCATCTCAAGTGGATTTCTAGTACATTTTTGCCATAATGCCGACCATGCCACGACATCTTGATCTTCATATCTTCACTATCTTTCAAGTAGATATCTTCCGTGCAATCTGGCTCTTCGTGTCATCTTTCCTTTCATTAGTCGGTTTTCGAGATTACCAGTAGATTACCCTATTTCGTTTAAGGTTGCAAAATAAAAAATAAGTAATCCAGTCGATTGCCAAGTCAAATACAACTTTGTCGCGTCGACAACCGCTCAGCAAATGTGAAGGGCCTGGCCATTCCTGGAATTCACATCCACCTTATGACCCAAGGGAAATCGTGGTGGTGTAGTTAACTATAAGCTGTACTAACACAAGTCGGGTTGGAATCCCGCGGGGGTCGTGATGAGGCCAGTCTAGGCAAGGTTGAAACTGTAATTCCATCCTGCCTGGAGGGGAAGATCATTTGTTTAACAAGGATTTGTGAAATTCAATTCATATGATTGTGGGGAAATGCAACTGCCAGTCGTCCTTCATCACTTTAAATGAAATAAGGCGAATACAGCTATTTATGTCATTTCCACCGATGCACAATCTGGCCAAAGTCCATTGTTTTCACGTCTTTGGCACCAACCAGACCGATTTTGGTGATACTAAGTTGAGAGGGTTCATCACGCTTGATTTGTCAGATACACCGAGCTTATCGCCTCGAGACGATTAGGCATTGGTTCATCTTCCTACTTGCCCGGTGGCTCGCTGTTGCGCCATCCTCCTCGCAGACATTTTATGCGAATGGGCAATGCAAAAACCGCTTCCATTTGGTGGTGAGTGAAGCAGCATCTACCCGTTCCTCCCTTATTTCATTGTGTGCTAGTACTCCTCCTTTTCCCCCAGAGCGGCAGGGTTGTCTGATCCCACCCAAACACAACCGTTTCTGTTGCTCGACTAACTACAGCTTATCTGTCACTCGACCCGAAGACGGCTATAAACTATGGCAGAGGGGCACGAATGCGATCAAACCTGCCACTCCTCCTCTGACATTCGAGGCTGTCGGGCATGTGGATGATCAGCTGACCGACTGTCTGGCTGGTCGGCTGGCCGGCCGCTCCGGTGACCTGGAGGCTGGCTTAATGGTTGGCAGACTTTTCTGCTGGGGAGCTCAACATGAGGGAGGCAACTGTAGCCGACGGAATAGTATGAAAACATCATCTCATTGGAGGGATGACATGTCAGGGTCCAATCTGAGCTACCAGCCAAAAGGACGCAACTTACTGAATCATTTGCAAAACAGAAACCAACTTGCGTGTTCTTCCACGTCCGTATGCTGAATCTATCTATGTCTGTTTGTATGTCTGTGTGTATGTTTGTATGGATGGATGGATATAAGTAAGCAGAAAGGTAGGCACGTACCGATGTGTATACGAATGTGTACAAGTCTGTATGAATGTTTGTAGGCGTTGAGTGGAGACGAATATCGCGGAAAGCTGACACACAATTGACAATTTGTGTGTTCATGCCGGTATCACGGCTGGCCAGCAAATGTACATGCAGCTATCCGTTGCTAGTGCCGTTGAAAAAGACGTTCATCAGGCTTTTTGACGAAAAGTTGGGCGAATGGAGGCAAAAAGACATTTTTAATTTGTCTGCCCAGCCAGAGCTCGATTAAAACACAAGTGGAATTGCTGATGTATGATTGAAAGTTCTATGAGGAGAGATCCTGAGAGCGAGACTAGGCAGCAAGAAATCGGTTGAGAATCGGGTTTTTTTTTAGCCCTTTCCCCCTACGAGTGGCATACCACGAGGCCCGCCCTTTGTATCCGCTCCCCTCCCCGGTACGTTTCTACTTCCGCCATACCGCTTCTTCTTATCCGTTGGTCACTTCGCCTACTCTTCTTGCTCTTTCTCTCTCGGCCTGCTTCTTCAATGCCTTCCGAGTGAATGGGCTCTCCTACTTATTCGTAAAGAGTCAAATACCATAAAAAGGGGCAGAAAATGCAATAAATAAAATGAATATTGCCCATTTTAAAGGAATATTTGGTAGGATGGGTCAGAAGGACCGACTGAAGCTGTGATAATCATCCAGTAAGGCTTGTTGTCTCAGAAAATTTTTATTGTGAAGAGGAATTTATGATTTTTAAATCGTAAACGAGCAAACCCAGTGACTATCTTTTTTTTTCAGACCCATCTTGCAATAACATTTTATCCTTAAACATCTGATTTGGACGAACAGCCCATCAATTTCCTATTTTATCATTTTGTCCTGTCCTGACCATTCGGATGGTTGAATGAAGTTAAACGGGCCAATTGTTCTTTGTTGTCGAGTCGTGACAGAGAAGTAGTACGAAGGCTTCACTTCTCAGTGTCGATCGTTTAATGCCCTCAGGCAATGTATTGAAACATTTCATGATGTCGAATGCACACAATTGCTTACTTCAAGTATATTTGGTTATCTGTGCCTTGAGTGCAGATCCAAATGGCTGGCTGGGTTTGCTCCCGGATCATTCGCCAGCGTTTCACAAAGTCCATTGGAAGGCCCTACTCCTCCAACACACGCATAATTTTAAAATTTCAGCCTCTCCAAGAGTTCATCCTCTGGCTAAGCCTTAATGACAACCTGAATCATCCTTGGTAACTTTAGGGGATTTAAGGATTTATGACTTTGAATTTCACTTTGACTTATTTTTCCATTATAATTAGGGTTTGAAGACTACCAGCAAATCATTTCTATTTTATACATTCACTTAATTTCATTTAAGATGAGGAAGGATTGATAGTTAAGTTTTCCCACAATAAAATGAGTTTCACTCACATTTACATTTAATTTCGCTTAAT